CAAGACCTGATGTGTAGCGTTTGCTGGTGTCCGCAGTGAGCCCACCCTCCCTGCCCCGGGCCCAGCTTCCGACCTGGCGTCCCTGCACACAGAGCTGGGGAGGGTGTGCGGGGCGTGCGACCCTGCACCCCACTCTCACGCCCTAGCCCCGCACACAGGGTGCCTACTGCAGCAGCCTCATGTGGAAGACAGGATCATGTGCACTAGTTGGGGAAATACCTGACTTTTGTTATGTAACCAGCAAAGCCCTCACCCGCACCCCAAACACATAAATTGCGAATCTCACGTTTGTGGATTACGTACATGAAAGCGGTTATTCCCCTCCCCTGGCCTCAGTTTCCCCAGCTACCTGGACTGGGTCGTCTCCAACGTCCCCTCCAGTCCCCAAACCCAGGAAGCCTGATTCGAGCGTCACTCCTTTCCTCGCCCCCCACGCTCCTCCTTCCCGCATCGCGCTGGATCCCGGGCTTAGAGTGAGGCGTGGGGCGCCGCCCCCCGCGGGCGAGAACCTCTGTCTTTTTTATAAGCGCCCCATCCTGTGTGGACCCCGAGCGCGCTCACTGCCGGCGGGGTCATGCCCTGTCCCGGAGGCCAAGCTTTCGGGTTGTCACAGACGTCGGCACTTAGACCCGCACGCGTTGCTCCTCGTTCCCAGGTTCTAGCGGGGGTGACACCAGCCTGCCCTGGTGGCGGTCAGTTCTCCAGGAAATGTCCCCGAGCTGCTCTCCGTGGCGGCTGGCCCCTCCGCTCTGCAGCCCGGCTGCCTTCACCGAGGCTGTGGGTGTCATGAGGTGGGACTCGGGCAAGGTCTGAGCACATCCTTCCGACGTCAAGTCTGCGAAGTCCTCCTGGTTCTCTCTCACCCGTTTTGATAAGAGGCACAGAGAGCGACCCTCGAGCTTGTGTGTTCTCCCGAAGTCACGTGCACCTGCCCACCTGCCGGCCCCAATGCCTTCTGGGTCCCGTCAGCCGTGGTCCCTGCAGCTGATGTGGAAGAGCTGCCGGTCCTGCAGCTGGGAGGTCCCGTGGGAGCGTGGGAGCGTGGTCGGGGCGGAGAGCCGGGCCTGAGGGTGTGTTTGTGTCCGCAGGGGCCGACCACATCCGCAAGTACTGGAGCCGCTACTACCAGGGCTCCCAGGGCGTGATCTTCGTGCTGGACAGCGCGTCTTCGGAGGGCGACCTGGAGACGGCCCGCAGCGAGCTGCACTCGGCCCTGCAGCACCCGCAGCTCTGCACGCTGCCCTTCCTCATCCTCGCCAGCCACCAGGACAAGCCGGCCGCCCGCTCCGCCCAGGAGGTACGTCCCGGGGACCCCGGGCTCTGTCGGTCTGGCATCTCGGTCTGGCGTCTCGGTCCACGCTCACTGCCCAGGGGCCGTCGCTAGGGCCGTGCGGCGGTGCTCCCTTCCAGCCCGATGTGGCTTCCCCACGGTGGGGTCCGTGCTGCCGGTCAGTCCAGAGTCTTCCCCGCCTGAGCCCACTGAGCTCGGGGGCTGCCTTGTCAGAGGGTGGGCGGCGTCCGAGGACTCACCTGGTGTTCTCACCTGTGTAAGGGCTGCTGCCAGTTAGTCGATGCTCTCCCGCCCCCCCCCCCCCCTTCTCACCTGCGAGGTGGGAGCCAGGCGTTGTTTCTATCGTAAGTGGGCTGCACTGATTGGATCGTTCACTCTGGAGTGTAAAGTGCTGAGTGCAGCGGTGACGCACAGAGACAAGTTTCGGTTTCAGAAAGCCGCTCGGTGAGGCAGGGACTCCTGTCGGGCACAGCCGGTCTTTCCACGCTGCCACGTGCAGCAGTGGGGAGCCCTTCCCTTCTTGGGCTGCGTGCATGCCTGTGGGGAGCCTGAAGTCATTAAGATAAAAAATAAAAATAACCTTTCTAGGCTGTCCCGAGGGCCCTCGAGGCGCAGGTCTCCCTGCTCTGTCCCGGGACCGCGGGGGCCTTTCAGCGGCTCGGCCCATTTCTCTCTGGCTCTGGCGCGGGAGGAGCGCGGTTGTGGCGCGGTTGTCCTGAGGGGTAACTTGGTTTCTGATTAGCCGGTGTGTTGCTGAAAGTGTTAGGACGAGGTCATATGGGAAGCATGTAATGCAGTACATGTATGCATCACAGCATGCTTGGACAGCATAACATGTGAGAACACACACACTATGAAACATGTCGCTGTAACACAGACGGCGCTGGAACTGCAAGTCACTGGATTCAGGTTAGGAGCAGTAGCTGCGCGTACTTTTCTCTTAAGTATAAACGCTGTTGATCTGTTTTGCTTGGACAGCGTAGGATTGGAGCTAACGTGCTCTTTACACCTGAGTGTGGTCAGGGTGGTCCTCATGGGCACTCGCCTGGCGCGGACCGAGGGGTGCTCGGCAGTCGATGGTTCCGGGGTGCCCGGTGCCCGGTGCCCGGCCCGGCCGGCTCTCCGAGGGAAAGGGCAAATGTCCCTGGGGCCCATCCTATATAATAAAAGGCTAATATGCAAGAAGATTGAACCAGCGGAACAACTGGTTGCTATGACATGTGCTGACCACCAGGGGGCGTGCGCAGAACATGGCGGGCGTCAGCCAAGGTGGGATGGTGGAGCAGCTGAGCAGGGGCGCCAGACCAAGGCGGGGCGCCGGTCACTGTCATCGGGGAGAGTCTATGGTGGTTACTGAAAATTCTTTGCTCCCGTGCACCACAGTCCTGCCCGGTGCTTGCACCCACTGCCGGCGCCTGGTGCTGGCCCCGATTGCTGGGGCCATCAGTGGGTGTGAGCGGTGGCTGTCGGCCCTGATCTCCCCTGAGGGCTTCTCCACCACCCCTTGCTCCTGAGGGGCGATCGGGGCAGCAGCTGCCGCTTGCACCCACTGCTGGCGCCGACCCCAGTGGCTCCATGCCCTTAGCGGGTGCGAACGGGGCCGGCACTGTCAGTGCGTGGGAGCGGCGAAGGTGGGAGTGGGGCTGCTGGCAGAAAGGGAACTGGGGGCCGGGCGGGGGCGCAGAGGATGGGCCAAGACCCGCCCCTGTGCCTACTGCAGCCTTGTGGCCCACAGTTCCTTTCAAGGTGCACGAATTCGTGCCCTGGGCCCCTAGTCTTTTCAGAAGAGAGATTCCAAGTGTAGGATGAGCACAGCTCGACCTGAACGTCAGACCCGACACGTGCACACCCTGCGCACGGGACCGGGACTTTGCTCTGCACCTCCATCGAAATGAATCTTCCTCAGAGCTTGGCTTGGCACGGCCTTGCAGCTGCCATGCTGAGACTGCCTGGCCTGTGTGCTCCCTGTCTGTGCACACGCGTCACCCCACGGGCAGGTTAGCGCTTCATCCCGCCCACAGCCGCTCCCTCCGGACCCCGCCCGTCAGAGCCAGGGAGCGGGCACACCTGGGTTGGGGAGGAAGCGATTGGGCAGCCGCCTCCTCTCTCCGAGGCTGGGGTGTCCGCGGCTCCTCAGCGTCCTCTGCGATGTCCTGGTGAAACTCCCAGGACTGTGTCAGGAGTTAAATCACTCCCTCAGGGTCGGCACACAGCCGTCTGTGAATCTGATGCTAGACCTTCTATCGACAGTGACCTGGGGGTGGCTGGGTGTAGCTTGGGGGGAGAGGGGAGGGGATGGAAGGTGAGCGAGTCCCGCGTGGCTTGAACTGTGTTTAGACGTGGTCATCTGTTTATTACTCTCCTCTCCTTATCAGGAAGGTGTTACATGCCCCGGGCTCTGCGGCTTATAAACACGCTTATTCATTTGTACCTGCTCATTTGGGTGCACTTTGTAGGATCTCCAAGTGCTAAAGAGATGGCGTTCTACTCTGCACAATCCCTGTGCATCTGGGGCAAAATCCCAGGCTTTCAGAATCAAGGAAAATGCATTGAGTTCCCCAAAACGCACCGAGCAAGTCTCGGATGCCGCTGAGCAGAGGCGGGTCACGGCTCGCCGGTCCTCCCCTCCTCCCGGCAGAATCATCGCCTCTGGAGCTCAGTGCCTTATGCAAACCGGTCGCAGTCATTTATCCTGACGCCAAGAATTCACTAGTGGTTCCTGAGGATCCCGCGATACTGAGTTTCGAAGGCGGTGGGAGCCAGCGCACCCAGCAGGGAGAGAGCTGAGCCATTGCTGGGCTCCCGCGGGCGGAGGCCTCGGGAAGTTGGATCTGTGTTTAGTCCCGGCCTCTGTGCTGGGAGCTCGGCTCTGTCTGGGTGGAGAACCGGGTTTAGACAGGAAGACAATGGTTAAAATGACCCGTGAGCCTCGGACAGGGCAGCGAGCCGCTCCCTCCATTGCCCTTTTATAACAAGCGGGGCCTTGGCGGCGGCCGGCCTCCCTCTGGAGCGCACTTGGCAGCCGCCTGGCTCACCTCGCAGAATTGCGAGATTGAACGTCTGGAGAACTGATAGTAAGAACTTTTCCCCCCCACAAATCAGCTTTTTGTTTATTTTTTCGATAGCAAAACACGGGGAAAAAGAACCCCTTTACACCCTGTCTGGAAGCCAAGCAGTTCTTGCCACAGATGTTTCTCGTATCCACTTTGGGGAGGTGTAGTGAGCATAGTTTTCCAGAATTTACTCATAATCAACTCGTTTTCTCTATAGAAAACATGCCGTGACCATCGCAGACTTCTGTCCCGCGGCCCACTCCACTCATTAGGGAATCCGGTCTGACTTCGGCGATAAAGCTTTGAAATGAGAATCATCTGAAGGGTAATTAGGTTGTTTTTACTCGGCGTGCGTCGTAATTGTGTCTAATTTGTTTTACAGCCCCCACGGGAGAGCATATTTCAGCTGTGAAGTTATAGGCTCGATCGGGAGGCAGTTATGGGGGTGAGGTTACTATAGAAGCCGGTAAACGTAGCCCTACCTCCCCGCCCGCCGCACAGTGGCCGGCCGGCCGGGAGGCCCTTACCGCCAGCTTTTCAGGGGCCGATCGTCCTTCCCTTGGCATCACTGCGTTTTCTGAAAGGACCCGTGTTGTCAACATGAGGGAAGGAGCTCACCCTCCCAGCAGTGTCATCTCATGTGATAGGTGTCCGCATCCCTCGCCCAGACCTACTTAACTTTCTCAGGAGCACCGCGTTCACCGGGGCCCGTGTTTCCATTAGAGCGAGTGTGAGAAATGGAAACCGTGCAGCATAGATCTTTGAAGTGGGTCTGAGGTCGATGACGGGACTGCTTCCCTGGCTCCTGGGAACCCAGCCTCGAATCGAACGTCCGCGTGGAAGTGCGGATTTGTGATCGGTTTGCCGTGGGATGGACGTGGAATGTGTGTTCTGGTAGAGAGCAGAGATGTGAGAAGAGAACTTGCAGGTATTTCTGTCATGCTGTAAACATTCCTTTTGTAGAGCGTGTTTTGTTTTGATTAGGAACATTCATCTCTTTGAACAATGCTTCCAGTCAATGCTCAGTGCATGGTGAGTAGTTCATGTAGTTCTCACTTCTTCGTCTGTTCTCACTTTTTCATCTGTCAGCCACTCTGGAGAGAGTGCCGGCGTGGATGTGTGTTATTTAACTACTACACTTCATGGTCATTACCTGTTTACCGATAAATAATTCTACATTGTGTACTTTCCCCCTTCCTGCAAAGGGTCAGAGAGAGGTTTGAAGGATTAGAAATGTGGGACAGTGTTGTCGGTAAATACTAAGCCTCTCGTTTAATTTTTCTTTTTTTATATTCTGCTTGGCAGTGAGCAGTTCTTTTGTGGTAGCTCCAGAAGCAGCCAGTGTCCGATTTTACATGACAGAGTTTTGATTAGAAAACTCGAGGCCGTGTGTAGATCACACAGAATCCTCAGCTTCATGTAACACGGCTTTCTGCCTAGGGCGCGGGACGTGTGTGTATGTTTGCAAAACGATCATCGTCAAGCCTCATGCACTTCGACCTCCACGTCTTCCACGGACCGTGACTGCCTCTTGGCGGCGGCTGGGGCCTCTGGCTCGAGCTCACAGGGAGCAGCGTGCATACCTATCGCGTGAGCAGTGTGCTGACTCCCTTCTGGGACACGCACTTACTCCAGAGCGACAGGAGATACAAATTACTTCTGTCCGTTCCTCACAGATGGACTGTGCTCCGGTGCAGTGGAATCTTGGGGGAGACAGTGAGGGGCTTGGAAGTCAGTTTCCCGCTGAGCGGCTCGGCGTGGTGGATGGAAAGGTTCACTCGCTCGCTGGGGAAGCTGAGGGAGGGGTCGTGTCTGTCCTCGGTGACAGAAGCGTCGCTATTCTACGTACGTTTCACAGAGCAACTTGTAGCCGAGAAAAGAATCCTTCAGAAAAGAATACATGTGGGAAGAGAATTTGCGAGTGTTCACTGCACACGCGGGACTGTTTACAGG